ATACACCTCCCCCCCCCCCCCCCCCCGCAGAAACACAAAGAATGACTGGAATGACTGCCTGTGGACTGAACAGGCAGTAGAGGGGTGGGGCATATTTAAATGAGGAAGGAGAGGGTCCTTGTGCTGACCAATGATAATAATGCACCATGACTGAGAGGTGTGATTAACGCAACTCTTTGCAGCAGAGGTCCCAAAACTAATAGCAATAACCCATTTTTAGAAAATACGGAGAAAGAAAGAACACTGCAAGACAGTAGATCCTGATGGCTGCATGAGTGGTGGCAGCTCTGATGACAGAAGGGGGCACCAGGGAAGCTGGGTGACCTGAAATAGCCCCTCGAAGGAGGAGTTAAGTAGACCTGGAAGCCAGGGGTGGGAGCTGGCAGGGAGGCGCTTTTGGTGGTCACACAACAGGGACAGCAGTCCAGGACCCACTCCATAGCCCCATCTAACACTGGCCCATATGAAAAGCTATCTCTGGTCCCTAATTCCCAGCCAAAGCCAGGAAAATCCAATAGCAGCTAAAACGTGCCGGAGGGGATCAAAGATGGGCAGTGGCATGAGCCGTAAAAGTCAACAGCGCAGTTATCTCTGAATGTCAGATCAACAACGAATAGTTTTTTAGTAAAAGCATACCCCCAATATTGCATAGGATATAGTTAGGCTACAAAACTATTTGTTATTGTTCTGAAATTCACAGTTGAGTAGGCATCATGAATTTTCATCTGCTAAATCTGACAACTCTAAATAGTAATAGTAGCAGTAACACCAACTGTTCTAGATGGTTTCTTTAGTTGTCTATTCATAAAAACCCAAGGGAGAATGTAGTGTTCTTCCCACTTTATAGACATGGAAACTTAGACTCAAAAGGACCCAGTCACTTGCCCAGGTTGTGAGGCTAGTATATGCCAGGCCTAGGAGGCGAACACCTGTGTTTGGGCTCCAGAGTCCATGTCGTGAATGATGCTGCTTCCCGACTTGGCAGGGGAACAAGGCCCAGGCCTCCGCTCCCTGACACCACAGGCAGGAATGTGGACTGCAGCCTGCCCCCGTGGTAGTGCAAAAGTTCCTGTAACAGTGGGGATTGTACCCCACCCCACAGTAACAGGGTGCAGCCGGGGGGACCCCATATAGGGATTTGTAATGGGGTCCAGAACTCAGGGTATCCAGGAAATATTTTTAAAATATATATGTAGGATGTCCTCACCCCCCCACAAGTCTGAACTAGGGGATGGGACACATGGAGCAGGGACATTGAGAACTGTTTTGCATAGCAACAGCTTTGCAGCTAACCTCTGGAATGGTTGTTTAACATATCTATAGCCTTTAACTGGTTTCACAGATATGTTACATAGCTGTGGCCATGCTTTGAGCCAGAGAGATGGGAGCACCTCTCAACTCAGGATGTAACTGGGAGGCAGCTCCCCCTGGACACAGCGACACTGGAGTAAGAGGGGGTTTTGGCGAGAATGGGAGAACCATGCAGCTTTGGGGCTCCCTTTGCCATGCAGTTTAGGAACCTGGAAAGTAATGATGTAGCAGCGATGCAGAGCTCTCTCTTAGCAGTTCAGAAGAATGCAGGAGAGACACTGTGGGAAGGGAAGGAGTGGAAGGACTCTTGCTGATGGGCATGAGGAGGTGCCACGTGGGTTTGGATTAAGAACTGGAGATTGAGGCGACGACACAGCTGATGGCGCTGGGAACCGAGGGAGGCCTGCCAGCTGGGCACGGATTACTGGGAAGAAACAGGGGCTACCTGAGCCATGGTTCTATTTCTTTTCCTGAGACATGGCACTCCTGACTGGGCAAAGGCGGGAAGGAAGGACTGTGTGTGTTTGTGGGTGTTTTAAGGGACTTTGGGATTTTAACGAAGACATTAAGTCATTAGTCTAAATCTGTACAACATTTGAATAAATAATCTCTTTCCTTTTCACCAATCTCTGGCATTGAGAGACGTCATTCCCTGGTGGGGGGCAAGGCAAACCTAAAACAGGGACCCCAGGAGAAGGGAGGGTCCATTCGGTAATAGTATTTTGTCCCCACCCCGCATGGGTCCGTCTGTAACACCACCGTTCTTTTGACATTGTTTCTGTGAGCACAGACTCAGACTAACACGGGGTTTGTAGATGAACAGCACGTTTGCATAAGAATCCCAGGAACTAGCACATTTTGCCGTGTATAATATGCTTCCCTGTACACTGCTCACCCGCGTTTTTGGCCCAAAATTTCAGGGGAAAAAATCATTTTAATTTTTTAATTCAATTTTTGATTCATTTATATTTAGGTATTTGTTTTTGGCATTATAAAAGAATGTTAGCATTTATTTTTTAATGTATTATGGTACAAGAAGTTTTTTTAATGTAACAAACAATTATAAAACACAAGAACAGATATGAGGCATTTCAGGTACTATCCATGTGTAATGCATGTTCTTATTTTTCTCTCAGAAATATGTGCAAAAAAAGTACGCATTATACATGGCAAAATATAGTAGTTTTAAAAGGTACAGACTCCACCCAGCTCCGGGAGATCTGCTGACCTTCGACCATGGAGCCAGGTTGATATGAGGTCAGGATGACTAAACCAGGATGATGCGCACCGGGCCAGCACTCCCCTTATCGAGTGCACCTTGCTCATCTGCACATACACAACTTTTCAATACCCTCCCTTCTTATAAAAAACCTCTGCCTCCACTGAGAGGTAGAGATGGGCTGTGAGACATGAGTCCCCCGCCTCCCAGATGCCCAGCATCTGCAAATAAACCACCGTCCTTTACATCAGCACCTGCCTCTCAAATGTTGGCTTTCGTAGCTGCAGGCAGCCCATCCTGCATGTCAGTTACATTTCCTTGGTCCTCAGAACACGCCAGTGCCTCAAGAAACCTTCCCACCAGACCCCAACCAGAGGCACCAAGTAAGTGCTGGGCTTCAAAACGTGAAAATCAGCACTCCCACAGCAAGGAAGTTCTAAGTAGCCCTAAAAGAATGCACTGCCCTGACCTCGGTGAAAGAAGAACAAGAGAAGTAGCACAACAAAGGGGGAGCCAGGACAGAGGCAGATTCTGCTTGGGGACAAGGAAAGGAACGGATGACTTCTGGTTGCAGGGAGGGTCCCTTCCAGTTTGGGGGAAGGAGTAACTTCAATCTTACAAAACAGGTTTCCATGACAATGGCCCCTCATCCCTCAGCATGACACCTCTTAAAAGAATCATAATGAGCATTTATTGAGTACCCACCATGTATCAAACATTGTGCTGGATGTTTTCATTGCCCTGGTCTAATGATGGGACACGTAAAAGTCACTGCAGCAGGGAGTCTTTTATTTTGTAGATGAGGAACCTGAGCCTCCGGGAGGTTACTTATTTCTTCAAATAACTTCTGAGCACTACGACTTTATTGTTTAGATTCTGTCCTAGGTGATAGTGATACAGCAGTGAACCAAAAAAAAAAAAAGACCTCTGTCTTGATGGAGGAGGTGGGGGCATGGATAAAATAAATAAATAAACCTTTCATGTAATTTCAGATAGCAGGGCTTAGTGGGATAAGAAAAAGTAGAGCAGGATCAAGAAACAGAGTGATGAGGCAGTCAGTATTCTAGCAGGGATGGTCAGGGAAGATGCGCGGGCGAGGGAGCATCTGAGCAGAGGTGTGAAGTGAGAGGGAGTCGCACAGGTCTGGGGAAGGGGACTGAGGGTGAGGGAACAACCAAAGGCCCTGAGGTGAGGCTGACCAAACTGGGCTGGCCAAAAAGTTCATTTGTTTTTTTCTGTAAGATGGCTCTAGTAGTGCTTAGTTGTCTTTAACTTCATTGGAAACAATTTTGTTGGACTGTATTGTGACAGCTGTCCTATCAGCATGCACTGAAAAAAAAAATGATCAAACTGGTGAATTTTTGTGTAGCCATTTTAATATTGAAGATAGAAGAAAATACAGAACAGTTTCAGTATATTATGCTTTATCATTTCAAGAAAGATAAAAACGCAACTGAAACACAAGAAAAGATTTGTGCAGTATATGCAAACGGTGCTATGACTAATCAAATGTGTCAAAAAATGGTTTGCAAAGTTTCATGCTGGAGATTTCTCACTGGACAATGCTCCACAGCCAGGTAGACCAGTTGAAGTTGATAGCGATCAAATCGAGACATAAACTGAGAACGATGAGCATTATGTTGGGAGATAGCCAACATTCTCTAATTATCCAAATCAACAAAGTTATTGGTGAAAATGAAAAATGAGTCTCGTATTTTACGGAAAAAATCGTATGGACTTTTTGGCCAACCCAATACAAGATAAGAGCTGGAGCAAGTGCGGGAGGGAGGAGGGTAGGAAATGAGTTTGGAGAGTATGGCAGGGGCGGGTCATTTTTAAAGGATCACTGCAGTATGGAGACAGGGATGGGTAAGGGGATGGATGGATGGATGGATGGATGGATGGATGGATGGATGGATAAGACAGATATGTAGATAAACAGATTTCCATGGATTCCCTTGAGCTGGCTACTGACCAGAGGTGAGAATACACATCTAGCTTTCAATTTGATTAAATGTGTCCAATGTTTGGTTCCTAAGTAATCAGCTCCCTCGGGGGTCCCAGGCAAGCACAAGCCTTAGTGAAATAGATCCCCTACAGCAGAATTTTGATCCCAAGTTCAAGAGGCAAACAGGGTTTTCATCCCAAGGAAACCATTACAGAGAAGGCTACCAGGTGGTGCCTCAGAATACCAGGAAGAAATCTCTACTAGGCCAATTCCCACACAACAGACTAGTGCACACACATACACACACCCTTACTACCTGGGATCTCCTAGGTAGAGTCACTAACTGTACCAATACTCTTCCTTGAGTACTTGGGTAAGAAAATCTGGTTTTCCCACCAGAAAAATAAAAAAGCCACCTTCCAAAACAGAGCCAAAGCTCCCTACGGGTGACACTGGTCCCCAGGAGCCCAGCCCTGCGGGGCCATCCCATCCCACAACCCTGTGACACCTGTCCAACCTCACCTCCAAGTCCTTCTCGAGCTCCAGCCCAGCCTCCATCAGGTTGTGCTCAAACTCGTCCCGCTGCTCCCGCTTCTCCTCCTCCAAGGCATCCAGCCGCCCCAGCTCAATGTCCTGCGAGCCCCCGGCATGGGGCTCCTTGCCAGTCTCCCCGTTGGAGACGATGGCCAGTGAATGGCCAGAGAAGCCGTGACCAGGGTTTGCCCCGCGTTTCCGGTAGTGGTAGGCGAGCACGTAGTCGACCTTCCTTTGGTTGTCATGGAAGTGCATGCGACTCAGAGGGGCTTCCGAGGACACTGGCTCATTGGTGTCCAGGTAGTTGTTGATGACCTGGCCAGAGAAAAGAGAGCAGGAAGAGTGAGGTCTGGTGAGGAAGGGGTGAGAAACAGAGGAGGCTGCCTTGCTCTGGTGCAAAAAGGTGCACTAGGAAGCAAGCCTCTCAGACCCAGGGGTCCAAACTGCCCCAGTGAAAGGACAGAGTGGCCCAAATTCATCTGCCACACCCAGCTCTCCACCCACCTGTCCATAGCCCAGGCACGGGTGCCTTCACACCTGCTCCAGGCTCCATGCACACACATATGCTCAGGTACACAGACTGCACATGCAGCAGCAAACCCCTGTCTTCACACTCAGAGCCACAGGCCCACTCTTGTGCATGCACACAGTCGTCCACACCCAGTCTCTCCACACCAGCACACACATCTGTGCACATGTACATCACCCAAATGCACTCTGACACACACACAGCCCTCCACACACACAATGGCACACCCACCTCCTTGTGGATCTGCCAACACGCACAGGTACATGCACAGCGTACTCACTGGCAGGTTCTCTGGATCCATTGGAACAAAGGCCAATTTCTGGTCACCTGGTCCACCTCACAGGAGTCACTACACACTATGCCCTTCACGGTGCCACATTATCCTCTTCCTCATACTCTCCAGCCACTGGTGAGGATCCTGCCACAGATGGCAGCAGGGGACTGACTCCTGCTCTCATCCACTCGTGGAGATGGGATGTTGAGAGAACAGGAGGAGAAAGAACGAGGCGGAGCGGAGTAGGGGCCTGCCTCCCCTTTGGGTGTTTCCCTGTTTATTACTGGTTTGATACCCAGCTGCCTCAGCAGCCACCTGAGAGGTCACCAGGGCAACCAGGCACAGAGGAAAGCCTCCAGAGCCACCATGGCAGAGGTGGGAGGGAAGCCAGGGAGTCTGCAGAGCAGCAGGTGGGATCACCTGGCCTCTCACACCTCCTCCTTCCCTGTCCTGTCCTCCTCTGACCAAAAGACTCCAGTGTGGACATTACGCTGTCCTGCCTTAGACAAAAGGAATAATGCCTAATAAAAACCCTGAGTTGTCTGTCTCTCTTTCACTCTCTCACACACATACACACACACCCCTGCCCCCCAAGTGGAGTGTCCTCAGTTAAGAGGCTCCCTCAGGGCCCCCAACAGGGCGAGCTGTCCCCTCACACCCCAGTACTCACGGAGCTGCTGTGTGAGTGCCCTTCACCAGGAAGTAGGCTGGTATCTCGGCTGGAGCTGCCCTGCGGACCTGGGGCTCGGGGACCCAGCCCCTTGAGGTACTGCTGTCCTTGTTTGAGGCCCTGGCCACCCCTGGCCACTGCTCGAGGACTCAGCCGGCGTGGGGAGCCAGGGAGCAGGGGGATATCTGTGAGAGGGAAAGACAAAGGAGGCACAGGCCTCTCAGGTGATGGGAAACCCAGGACACAGGGAAACTGAGGCATAGACACATAAAAAAATGGTCGTGTCTCCTCAGAGACACGTGACCTCCTCAGAGGTCACTCCTTAGTGACCCAGAGTCACACTGGCCACAGGAGAGGAGAGTGGAGAAGAAAGTGGGGGCGGTGTTGTCTCACCCCACTGCACACACACACAGAGCCCTGAGCCACCAGCTCCAAGGTCCCTTCTTGGCCCTCCTCAGAGCAGCCCTCCTCGCAGCCTGCAGCAGGACCGCAGTGCTATTTCAGAAGACGTCCAGCCTCACCCTGCAGGGAAAGGACCCCGGTCGGTGATGGAACTGCAGCATGTCAGAGTCGGAGGGAACTGAGAGATGAGACACGGACTTTGAGAGATGGGCCTCCAAAATCCCAGACAGGGGCTGCAAGTTGCCAAGGTCTCACAGCTGATCAGACTCAGTCTCTTCCCACCCCTGAGAAACACCTTCAAATACAGCAGCATAGCCCAGAGCACGTGGACTCAACCCTCAGCTCTGCCACGCCGACTCTGAAATCTCTCTGAGCCTGTTTCTCCAACTGTAGATGAGGAGAATTCCAAACTTCCAGGATTGTAATAAGGATGAGAACTGGGGATGTGATGCAAAGTACCCAGGACAGTCATTAGCCTATGTGCATGCAATGAAAGGTGGTTATACAATAATTCTTGTTATTTTCATTTTAAGCTTTCTATAAGCAGAAATCACACCTTACACATCTAGTGCAGCCCTTAGTCTCTCCCTGCTGAATGAATCAGTGGACGGATGAATGAATAAATGAACAACAGCTCTTCCTGGTTTCTTGAAACAGAATTTTGGCCAGTCATGAGGTTGTGGAGCAGTGTCTATGTGTCCAGCCCTCTGCTGGGCAGTTTCAGTAAAGCCTGGAACGTTTGGTCCCTGCACTTGAAAAACTTAACATCTTTCATGCAGGAAACACAGTTATGACCACCAGAGTGAAGCTTCTATAATTTATTTCTATACTGTGGGCTCCAGCCCCTACTACAGGACACCAGAAAGCTAGGTCACGGTAGGCTTCCAGAGGCATTAAGCCTAAAGCTGGTCTTGAAGGATCAGTCTAAAAGATACCCCCTAGAGACAGAAAACAGAGGGCAGGGGTGGGCATGCATGCTACTGCAGGGACGGTTGGGGACGGGGGGAAGGGGGGGTCTCCAGCTCAGGACACCTTGTGTAGATTCTTCCCTCTGGCTAGAACATACTTCTCCATCTAGCTGTGGCCCCCCGCTATTTCAATCATTTGAGACCCAGAAAACCAAAAGTAGTACATTCGTCTCTCAAAAAGCTGCCATCAAGGTGTAAGACAGGAATATTCAGATACAACGAATAAAGCTAATTTCCTTCCACCTTATCATGATTGAAGTTTCACCAGCTCAGACAGTAAGGGGACGGGACCCACAGACACATGTAAAGTCATCAGAGGACGGCCTCTGAGCTTCACCCGGTGAACTCCAGTGGTCAGCAGGGAGCCACAGAGTGGGGCTCAAAGGGCAGCATTTACTGTCTGGTGTCACCGAGTGAAGAGAACCCATCGGGGCAGTCCAGGTTGAGTCAATGGGCCTGTGCCCCTAAGCCTTTGCCCATATTCCCAAATGACCACCCCAAATGACCATCCCCTACGTGAGCAGCCCCTCTTTCAATTATTCAGGGCCCTCACAAGGCACTGGAGCACTGAGGTCAGGGGAAGAGAACCCTCTTCACCATCAAAGTGTAACCAGATGAAAATGACTGAGGCCTCCTGCTTGGCATGGACAGACGGCAGTCCCCCTTGGCGGCAGCACCTACCCACATACACATCTGCCCCCAGTTTATTCTCCCCCTCTGTCCTCAGAAGGTTTTTTTTTAATTATACATCACATCACTCCACCCTCCAATTTAAAGCCCTTCGATGATTCCCCTTTGCCAAAGTACAAAATCTTTACCACAAATTGAAAGGTGTTGCATACACACCCCAACCTTGTTCCTGTCCTCCTCAACACTCCCCATCTCTCTTAAACTAGAGTGTTCTGCATATTCTTATTTGGTCCATTTGTGGAGACCTTGAAGCATAACAGACCCATAGGGGCACTTGATAATGGGTTGGGGCTGCACTTCTTGAGAGTAGGGAGGGAATGAAGGGAAAGAGGGCAGTATTCTGGTCCTTGCCTGCTGTTTAGTGGTGCCTACAGCCTGTCTGCATGGTCCAAGGCCAGAGTGGACAGTCTTTGTCAGGCCAAGAATAAGGAAATCAGGAAATGCCAGACAGTGATTTGGGACTACATCGCAGTGTTTTGGATACAGTGCAGAGCTAGACTCTACAGGAGGCCACCTAAGAAACATGAAGGTTGACTTAACCACACAGTTCTCCTTCCCCCCGTACAGCCCTCCCAGGACTAGCCATCAGCACAGAGCCAGGAGTGAGCTCAGCCAGGCTGAGCCTCAGGGTCTAGTCCTGGCATTGCCACAATTTTGGAAAAATATATACCTTCTCTGTGCTTAGTTATTCTTTCCATGAATGGAGTGGGGAGCATTTCATTACTATATATTTTCCACTTAGCATGAGCATGATGACACAATAAAAGAAAAGAGCAACATTCCTTGGAAGTACATGGCCCATGGAAATCCAAGGATCCCATCAAATCCTACTTGGGGATTCAGCACCTGCCTCCTCCAACTGACTTCTCTGCTTCATTCCAGCTGCTCTCCTCCAAGTCCACAGAATTCCCTTTCTCTCCCACCCACCTGCCTGCTTCCTATTCACTTTCTCCTGGAAGCTTCCCTAGACTACACTGGAAAAGCTGTCTGTCCCATTACAACCTGGGAATTGATATCCTTGCTCATCTGAGACTAGCAAACACTTGTTTGCCTTTTAGGTCCAGTCCTGACTGTTTAGGCACAAACTCTGTCCCTTCCAGTTGGATCTAACCTCCACCATCCTACTAAGCTACAGGTACCTCAGGTTGTGCCATAGAGGCCGATGAACGAATGGGATCAGAGACTTCGAGGAAAAATTAATAGAAACTGAAGTCAGGGAGAAGCCCAAATCTAAATAAAAAACCAGGTGGAGCTTGTCTTCAGAGTCCTGTCAATGCCTATCTTTTCATTGTCCCTTCCCAAGTCCCCTCCCCAGCTTTGGGCTCCCTATATTCTACGCCTGTACATTTCCATCCACCATCAGGGCCTTCAATGCCCATTCCTTCATTTAGCTACTGACTGTCATGGCTAAGAAGCTGATTTACACCAAAGTACAAATAGCCCATGCTGACAGCTTGAGATAGTGTAAGTGAAAGTGTTTTGAAATTTTTAAAGGGCCCTATAGATGTCACAGACCTGCGTGTGTGCAGGGGCAGGGGTCTTAGCTGAAGGATACACTCTAACAGCAGACACTGGTGCACATGGCTAGGGGAAGGGAGAGATGCTGAAAGGCATGAGTTCTTCAGGGTCACAGCAAAGGCTCAGAGCTTGGAGGGGCCTCTAAGTAGGGAGAAGGAGAGAGCAGGACGTGGAGAACATGTTAGAGTAAGAAAGGCTTGGGCGGTAGGTGATAGAGGGAAAAATGGCCCAAAGGGACCAGGTGACACAAGCAAGAGGAAGGTAGGGGCCAGGCTGGGCAGAGAAAGAGCAGCGGTAGGCTTGCCAGGTATGGAAGACAGTGAGGTGAGTCATCAGGGCCCAAGGAGGTGCCCGGAGCCTCCAGGAGAGAAGAGCGGGGAAGTCCTCCTGAGGGAGTCAGACTTCCAGATGGCAGAGCTCTTCCTTGAAGTGTCCCTCATGGCATCATTACTGTCTCATTACTAACCAGTGGCAGGTGAAGAGTGATGTGCCCTGAAAAATCAGGCAGCCTTATCACTGGCCTTTCAAGGCCACTGCTTCTGGCAAAACCAGACTGGCCAGGGCCACCCTGAGGGGAAACGGAGCATCCGAATTCTCTTGGGCCAAGAACAAGACTCCGAGTGGGGATCTACCAAAAGGCAGGCCTTCTTGGGAGTCTCAGAGAGTCCCATTCACTTTCAGATTTTGAAGGCACTCACTCTGGACCCTCCCCGAGCATCCCGAGATGGATGGATTTCATTTCCGTTGGAATCAGTACTTATGCTGAGGTCTCACCCTGTTTCCCTGCATGAACTGACCCAGGACAACAGGCCAAATTTGAAGGTCCAAGCTCAAAATTTTTAACCAGTAGCCCTGCTGATCACCTTACCTCTTGCCCCATAGGTCTTGCTAAATGGCACTTTTCTCAGGCTCTGAGCCTAGCCAAAGAAATCAAAAGGACAGCCTTCCTGTTCCCTCCACACAAAAAGGATCATTTTAAACATATCTGTTCAACTTTGCTTGTCTTATGGCCCTGGCTCAAGAACAGCCTTCTCTTTGTGAATGTTTTCAAATTGCAGTATTATTCACAGTGGCCAAGACATGAAACAACCAAAGTGTCCCTCAATCAATGATTGGATAAAGAAGATGTGGTACGTACATACAATGGAATACTACTCAGCCATAACAAAGATGTAATACTGTCATTTGCAACCAAATGTATGGATCTTGAGAGTATCATGCTAAGCGAAGTAAGTCAGAAAGAGTCAAGAACCATATGATTTAAACCATATGTGGGATATAAAACTGCAAGCAACAGATAAACAAAGAAGCAAAAACTCATAGACACAGGCAACAGTATGGTGGTTACCAGAGGGGGAGGCAGTGGAGTAATAAAGGGTAGAGGGGGTCAAATATATGGTGACAGAAGAAGCTTTGACTTTGGGTGATACACACACAATGCACTATACACATGAAGCAGCATAGAATTATATACCTTTGTAATTTATTAACCAATGTCACAACAATAAACTTTTTAATTAAAAAATTTTAAAAAACAGCCCTCTCTTGATGCTCAAACATCCCTTTCCTGATGATGACACTCCCACAGACGCATCCTTGCCTTGAAC